ACACCCCACCCCCCGGACATCTCCAGTTTCACATGGATGACACCCATGTTGTAGAATGGAGACTTTCCTACTAGTGAAAAGATGATCTTTGAAACTCATTGAACACCTTTCTTTTTGTCATGTCATAATGTAAAAAAAAATCTATTTTTTTTCCTATCTTGAAAAGGGTGAATATTAATTGATTTGATTGTGTGTGTGTGTGTGTGTGTGTGTACACTTACCTAAAGGATTATTAGGAACACCTGTTCAATTCTAATATCTAATCAACCAATCGTATGGCAGTTGCTTCAATGCATTTAGGCATGTGGTCCTGTTCAAGACAAACTGAATGTCAGAATGGGAAAGAAAGGTGATTTAAGCAATTTGGAGTGTGGCATGGTTGTTGGTGCCAGATGGGCCGGTCTGAGTATTTCACAATCTGTGCTTAGTTACTAGGATTTTCATGCAAAACCATTTCTGGGGTTTACAACGAATGGTGTGAAAAGGAAAAAAAAAAAAAAAAAAAAACATCCATTATGCAGTTTAGGTTTGTGTTAAAAAACACAATGAATTTCTGCACTCTGTTGTGTATCAGATGTGTGAAATAATCGACTAGTTTACATTCAGTTAGTGAAGCAATTATGTGCTAGAAATAAGAGCTGCAAGTGTCTCTTCACAAAATTGTCTGGGTGGTGGTGATGATTCTGGCTGCCAGATGGTACAATGTGGGACAACATATGTGACACAAAATGGAGGGAAAGACATGCCTCTGCTCCAATCATCCCTCGTCTTGCACCATTTGATTGAATTCTCATTATGATACACTTGCATAATTGTGTTTTTATCTGATATTTTAATGGCTCATGTTGCATATAATTATGTAGTAATTATCTGTCTCTCTACACCAAGTAGAGATACAGAACTGTACTGCAGGTGTCACTTACATTTCTCATCTGTCTGGTTTAAACTAAATATACAGTAGGATGCTCAGACCATAGTAGTATTGTTTACCCTTTAAACCAAGTCCCTTGGATATCAGGGGTTAGCTGTTTATAATGCCTGACCAAAATGTCTGTTGCTTCATGCTGTTGTTTCTTATCATCTTCATAGTTATAAGTTCAGATAATATGATTATAAGTGATAACTGCAACACGACAGGAGAAAGTATGTTGTCACACTAGGAAATTGGCAATATTTTGCCATAAGATTTTGAGTGAAATGTACAATTACACAAATGTTAGTTTGACTTTCCTCTGTATTCTCTTATATTCAAACATCTACCCTGACTTGTTTTTTTAATATTTTAAAATGCAATTGATATGCAATTATCCAAAAAGACCCAATCAGGGCATGCATATGGGAAGCCCATCAACAATGAAATGCAACCCCAGAGTTTTCAAACTAAAACAGGGGTGCTGCATCACACACTTCTTGGATCGAGGCACCTGAAAGGAGGGCTCTAGAGGAAGCCATGCCTCTGTTTGAATGAGCCCTCATGGCCAAAGGTGAAGGCAAGCTGCACACCTGATAGGCCATAGAGATAACCTGAACGACCCAGTTACTGATGGTCTGTATGGATGCGGGAAGCCCACCAACAAATCTGAAATCCACCATGAAGAAGACCTCTTGACATAAATCTTGAGAGTTTTGACAGGGCAGAGCAAAGTTGTCTTTTCATTTGCTATCACGTGAGGTGGAGGATGAAAAGCCTGCAGAACCGTAGGCCGTGCCATTAGATGGCACTTTAGGCACATAGCCCGGCCTGGGATGCAAGACAGCCTTAATGTCGCCTGGAGCAAACTCCATGCACCCATGAGATATTGAGAGCGCCTGAAGTTCTCATACTCTCCTCAGAGAAGCAGAGGTTAGTAAAAAAAAATACATTGAGGAAAAGGTTCTTGGACTCCAGATGTTCGAAGTGGGCCTTGACCAGCCGTTCGAGAACCAGTGCCAGGTCCCATGTGGGAACCTTGATACGAGCCGCAGGTCTCATCCTCCGAGCCCCACAGAGAAAACGTACGACCAGCTGATGTCTCCCCAGAGGCCCATCAACCAGAGGAGTGTGGAAAGCCGCAATGGCAGCCACATACACCTTGAGTGTGGATGGGTTAAGACCAGCTGAGAAGTGATATTGGAGGAGCTCCTTCACTGAAGCCAACTGGGCGGTTAACTGGATCCACCTCACGCTCTCTACACCAAGTGGAAACACATTCCACTTTAGGCCGTACAATCTCCTCATGGAAGGAACTCCTGAACTGAGTATGGTCTCAACCACTCCAGCCGACAGGCCAGCCTCTAGGTACTGAACCCACTCAGGGGCCAGGGCCAAAGTTTCCATAGGTCTGGTCGAGGATGAATATCAAGCCCCCGGCCTGTAAATGCTGGTCCCTCCTCAGAGGGATCTGCCAAGGCTGGCCTGCCAGCAGTGCTATGATGTCTGAAAACCATACCCGGGCCTACCAGCACGGGGCAACTATAAGTAGTTTTATCCAGTTTCGATGGACCCTCTCCAGAACTCCCGGGATCAGAACGATCGGGGGAAAAGTGTACAGGCATAGCCTTTGCCACGTCTGTACCATGGCATCCAACCCCAAAGGGGCTGGATGGGTGAGAGAAAACCACAGTGGACAGTGGGGCGTCCCTCATGACGCGAACAAATCCACTTTCACTGGGCCGAACCTCTTGCATATCAACTTCACCACATCGGTGTGAAGTCTCCATTCCCCAGAGACAACCCCTTGGTTTTCAACCTCCACTGCAAGGCCCTCATGTGCAGCAGGCCGAATGGAATGACGTTGGACACTGCTGCCATGAGCCCAAACATACTCTGAAAATGTTTTACAGTGATGGCTTGGCCTAGCTTTATACTGGTCACTGTGGCCAAGATGAACTTGATCCATGAAGGAGACAATTTGTGCCTGTATTGTGACTGAGTCCCAAACCACTCCTAGGAACACGATTCTCTGGGTTGGTGCCAACAGGTTTTTTTTCATGTTGAGTCACAACCCCAGGCTCTGGATGTGGGCAATGAGGACACCTCAATGCCGAACTGCCAGTTCTTGTGACTGGGCCGTAATAAGCTAGTCGTCAATATAATTTAGCACCCTGATACCCTTGAAGCCCATCAATGGAACTGCATCAATGTATTTGTTAAATGTGCGAGGGGAGAGAGCTAGGCCGAACGGAATAACCCAATATTGGAAGGCTTCACCCCCGAAAGCGAACCTCACGAAATTCCTGTGAGATGGAAGGATGGATACGTGGAAGTATGCGTCCCTTAGATCTATTGTGACAAACCAAAAATACAACGCATTCTCATCCTTTGGCATCATATAGGTGACGCCATATGACATTTCGTCAAAATACTACGTACATGGCACCCTTTAGCGTCAATATATCACTTACTGTTATGGGTAGGTTTAAGTCTGGGGTAGGGTCTGCATCTCATATGACGTTAAAGGATGCCAGTCACCTGTATGACACCTTGGGTTCTGGGTGTTATATTGACGCTAAAGGGTGCCATGTGCGTAGTATTTCAACGAAATATGATATGGTGTCACCTATATGACGCCAAAGGATGAGAACAGGCTAAAAAAAGGTTGTTAGTACTTCCTGTTACATACCAACGTAACAATGTAACAAATTTGCTAAATGTCAGAATATGGTCTTCATTGGCTGCCCATGAACACTGTCTACTTCGACCCAACCTCAAACACTGTAATTTGCAGCCTTGAAAAGTTTGGTTCATATTGTCGCCATATCAAGAAAACACTGTTTTTTTAGTGCTGCAAATCTACTTTGTAAGCACTTCCGGCTGGAATTGATAAAGAAAACTGACGCCACCTTTACTGTTCGTAAATGTTTTGTAAACTAATGTTCGAAATTTGGTGATGTGGAATGTATGTTCAGAAATTTAAAGTGTTTTTGACCTTAGAAGCTTGTAAACAAAAAAAAAACAACAAAAAAAAAAAATTAGGAGCCTTTAAAATACTGTAGCATTTAAAGTCATACATGTTTGAAACAAAATTAGGATTAGTAAATCATGAAAAATGAACATGAAAAAAAAATGCCTTGAATATTGTACAACACAGACAATAAAATCCCTGTGTACCTGGTTAATGAAATTGCAAATGAAATCTAAAACATAATTATTAAAGCAATTGGAATTGAATCTTTTTAAATATTTAGAGTAGCGAATTTGACTTTACAGATGCTTAATTATCACTTGATTAGTCCTAGCATATGTGCTGGTTTAAAGACTGAACCCCATTGCTGTCAGTTCTCAGTGTATTCCCCTCCAAATGAAGACACAGGAAGGCTGTGTACTGCCTTGTGTGTGTGTGTGTGTGTGTGTGTGTGCGGGTTATGCACCTGTAGGTCTTGCTGTTTGGGTGAGCTTTATTTTTAATGACCTAATCTGTGTTGACAAGCAGTAACACTGCCTGCTGGGGCCAATGAAATCATTATATCCCTGTCAGATAAGACAGTAAACACAAGCACACTCACTGCAGAGGGAATGAGAATTGTGCAAGCGCATGTGGGTGTTTTGTGCGCTCTAAGCATAATATGTGATGGGATGAGGGAGATTGAGGGGAGTATAAACATAGATTTATAGCCTATACCCTCCCAGATAGCAAATTGGCCTTGGGCCGGATCTGGCTTAATTTCGGCTGAGATTTTGGCCCACATACCGCATGGAATTACGGGCCAAGGTTGGCCCAAGTGCTGTTTGCCGTAAGTCAACCAGATCAAAGCCGTGAGCAAACCAAAACTCGCCCAGAGCTTTGCAGTGTACCCAGATATTACCCAGAACTGGGCCAAAACAACGCCGTACTCCCCATATGTCAGCCAGACAAAAGCCAAACTGCCACCACCTTTAGGCCAGAACTCAGCCACATCTTATCCAGAAGCTGCAGAAAACAGCCATAACTGGGCCAATATTATACCAGAGTCCCCAAAACTGAACCAGAAATTATTCCTGTGTAAAACAAGGTATAATAAAAAAAATGACACTACAGAAATGCAAAGAACATTATTTTATTGAGAAGGGAAGAAAATCTCAGCCAGATAAAAGGATAAACAACAAAATACAAGCCAATACTAGAGTAAGACAAAACAAAATATAACTATAATTCACATTACAAGAATAATAAAAAGACAGCAATAAATTAAAATGTTACAAAAATGTGTATGTGGCATTCTTAAATAATGAGATACAAAAATTAACAAAAATATGTTGGCCGAGAGATCTCAAAGTCCTGCAACAGAAGAAAACATGCAAACAAGAAAAACACCAGCAAGTCAAGACATCAGTTTCACAACACACATGCTGCAAATACAATGCAAACAATAAATAATAATAAAAATAAAACAATGAACACCATTGTCGAGTAGATATTTGTTGGTCGGACATTTGGAGAGCATTTATGTATTTGGTTGTGTTTAGCACATGTGATAAAGATGTTCTTATTTTACAGGGTTTTTTTTTCTGTTTGCATCAATTTTCTTCTGTTGCAGAATGTTGAGACCTCTCAGCCACCGTACTAAAAAGCAACAGAAACCAAGCAATACATTAAATTCATACAAACAGTAAAGCAAAAGTGTAAATGTGTCATGCATGCCACACCACCACTATGACATGCTATAGTATCCTTACACTAACAGTGAATATATGATGAAAAATACTAAATGAAATCTTACATCTTATTAAAAATACTAAATGAAATCTTACATCTTATTAAAAATACTAAATGAAATCTTACATCTTATTAATCGGTCATCACTTGAGAGGCTTTTTCTCTGTGGTCTGGGTGTTTCATGATGCCATGGTGACTGTATTGCCTGTCTGTGAGACTGTAAAGTTAAATCCTGTTGCCTGCGATGTTCTGTGAGGTCTTGTGAACTTCTCTACTTGCCATGGCTGCAGTAGCCTCCTCATCGGGGTCATTTTCATCCATTAGTCGCCTGTTTCATCTTTAGGAAAGGTACATTTTTTTAATGATTACTAAATTTGATTAAGAAAGTGTGGTATGGTCATGTAAAGACTATTCAGTGACAAATTCCCTTTTTGCAATTCAAAAAGAAATGTGCATTATAATGTGTTAAACTGCACAAATATATAAGGACCTGTAAGAAAGGTCTATGTTAATGAATTAACGTTAAAAAATAATCAATCTTACTTTATTTTCCGTTTTGGTGGCCTCAGAAAGATCAGCTGTTGTTCAGCAAGAAGCAGCTTCCGATGTTCTTCACTATAATGTTAATTTTCAATGAAAAACAGAATTCAAACATCAATTCTATTTCCTCTCCAACATAAAAACAAATAAAATCCAACCACACAAACCCCCCAAAAATCGTATCTAGTAATGCGCTATAGATTAAAATCCACGTGTTAAGATAGTGAAAAACTATAAACTTACCTTGATCATGTATTAAAACTTCAAAAGATAAAACCAACACAGCGTGATTGTCGAAGTTAGAACAACTAACTTAGTTATTTGAATTTCACCGCGACTGCGTTGAGTTGCTGAATAGCTGCTACGCAACTTCCGGATCCTCTGGTAGGCGGGATGGTGTCACTGGGTGCATTCTGGGAAAAGTAGTCTTTTTGCAAAGCGGATTTAACACTGTACATGTAAATCAACTACAATTTCCATGATGCATTGCAAACCAGATTGTATCAGCAGCCACAGACGTCGCATCGACTGCCGCGTGGTTTGCTCACACTGCTCTAAAAACACGCAAGTTTCCCGGAGATTTTTAAAAACAGAACCACGTTTTATTTAACCGATTTCAATGGTTTACGTGGAGAACATAAATGTTTCTTCTCCAAATACGTACAATAGGCTATGTATAGGCTATTTTATGGAGATTATATAATTTTTTTATTGAGGAATTGTGAAAACTCAAAGCATGGGTGGTTTTTGCTTCAAAAAATCATAGTTTAACCATGGGTTTTTGTAGTACATCTGTAGGCTACCTAATAAATTCCCCAAAAAGTGAATTTTTTTGTGTGTGTGTGTGTGTGTGTGTGTGTGTGGCATATTGATTACCATTTGGATAACCACAAAGTACTCTTTCAGTTCCATTCAATCTTTTGTCTATGCTGCAGACTGAACCATTTGTCTTCAGTCATTTTGCAAACATCTTTTTTTTCCATTCTGCAATCTGCACATTATCACCTCCTTAACCCCCCCATTAAAATAATCTTGCCAATAGAATAATCAAGGCTTCTTTCCTTAAAACCTGCCTACTTATGTGTAAAAGAGAACTATTTGCATACATATCTATATGTATTTTTAACTAGGTCTATAACAAACTTATTTCATTTTATTATTTTTAACAAAATTAACCCTATTTATGAGGTTGCATTATAATTATGTCTAAAATATGAACCAATTTAACACCACATCTTACACGGCTATTTTACAGTACAGCACTTTCATGAGGTCTGTTATTTGCTCAGCAAACCAAAACCCAACCAGATCTCAGCCAAAAATTTCCTTATTCTGGCAGACCGAACTCAAGCCAAAGCTTAGCCAAACAGATACAATTTGATTTGTTTCTTTTGGTTAGCCAGACTCCAGCCAGAGCTTAGCCTAGTACTGTTTGACACAAGAGTGTGAAAAAAACAGTGCCAGAATTAAGCCAGAAGTGCCGAATATAAGCCAGACTCGGCCCAGACTTTGTTGCTATCTGGGCTGTCCGCAACATGATTTGGGTTTGGATTAAGAGATGAAGCATATTGCATTTTGCAGATAATCCCAAAACTTATTATAAGACAGAGCATTTCTATTGTGAGCCTTTACCTTACTATCTTCTGTCTGACCCTTGAGACGGCCTCATAAATGCTCAGCTGATCTGGCTTTGTAGTTTTAGCTGCATGGCTCTTTTCCCAGCATTCTGACTTTGTGTTGGTGCCAGGCTGGAGAGGGGCATTCTTTCGCCCCGGGCTTCTCAGTGGGCACAGCTGCGTCCGTGACAATACCCCCAAGGGCACATGGTAAATTGTGGCATCCTCCTAATTACAACAGCATGGTGAAGTCTAGCAATAGTAGCTGTCCATCTCATTTTCATATGCCCTGCTGTCACTAAATGCATCATTCACATGCTGACATTCAAAAGAAGGTGCCAAATTGGTGGTCCCCCCTCAGTCTCCCTCACCCCATCACATATTATGCTCTAAGACTTGATCACTAGTTAACGGCATGGGTAGTAGTTTAGCTGATTCACTCGAAATCAATTTTATAATCTTGAGTTCTGTATTTCAGAAATTACTCTTCCTCTGATTCATAACCCAGACATTCATATGTATCATTTAGTGTTTTCCCCTGCTCTTTTCCTATTTTTTTTTCTGTCCTATTTTTTTTTTTTCCATTAACCTTCATAATACTCAAATCTACCCTGGTCTTTCAATTTGAGGTTGATAATTTGCCAGTTCCCCCCTACTGTGTGTGCATGCAGTAATGTATTTTACATTAGCACTGGCCTGTAATCAGTCTGCACTTCTGCACAACATGCCTCTGGTATTCTCTGTAACACAGCAGGTCTTTACTGGAGTTTTCAAAGTTCTCTTGATGCTTTTTTCCTATTTATGGAGCCAAGCTCACCTGTCTCTATTACCCCTTTTCCACCAAAGCATTATGAGAGCCGGTTCAGAGCCGGTTCCTGCGTGTGAACCAGTTTTTTGTGTTTCGACAGCCAAAGAACCAGTTCTCGGCTAGGAAAACTGGTTCCAAAGCGGCACCAACTCTTCGCTGGACTAGAACCGTCCTTTTATAACGTCATGCTTACATTGGGGGCTGGGGTGGGTTTAGATGTGTTCTAAACATCTTTTCTGACCATGATATGGGATCGCAAAGCCAGGAGAAACATTTGCAGAAACATGATGGAGTCCACCTTTGTAATTGTTATGCTTGAAGTTGGCGCAAGTGTTTCTTTTTTTATTATTATTATTTAAATTGTATTATTGAAAACATTATAAGTAAAGAAGAAAACAGTCACAATATATAACAAATAAATGGAAAGAAAAAAAGTCACATGGTAACTAATCAGAAAAGATTACATATCAAGGGAAAAGATTAAAAGACTTACATATTTCAATTGTTTTTAAAGCCTTCTTGGTACGTGAGTTAGAGATAATCCCAAAGTAATGTTGTACTTGCAAACGTTTCTAGCTAAGACTATGGCGTACGTACACAGTGACGTAACGACGCCATTCCCTGGCCGCTCTAGTCAGTGGAAAAACAAACAGGTTCTGAAAAGGTTCGCAAGTTGAACCAACTCCTAACCAACTTTGAACCAGCACCAGTTCCGAACCAGATATTTTTTGGTGGAAAAGGGGTGGTCTGAGTAAGGAGATCTCTTACGAGAGTCTTTTTATGTTGCGTAAGCTAGTTTACGCTACAGAAAAATCTCTTTTTCTCGAGATTACTGAAGCCAAAAAATTGTCCTTAATTATTCCTATAATATTATGTAAAACACAGCGAGGCAGCTCGCGCACCTATTAGTTGCTCTGTGGCAAATGCTGCAACCTTTTGATGGACTGGTCATGACGTAAGCACCAATGCTACCCGCCATGCTTCTGGAGTCCGAAGGGGACGATGCGGAGGATGACGCCTGCTCGCTCGCCGCTTCAGGCAGTGAAAGATGGTGACGGACGCTGGTCCTTCCGTGCTGACGTCTAGCAAACTTCTCCGCCTCATGACCCAAGGCAGTGGAGGACCTCGGCCACGATTGGTCACCACCCGAGGAGCCATGTGACATACCCAGATGCTCTAGTTCCGTGACAGGTCGCTCAAAACAGCAGCTGCCTGGAGAGAACTCGGCTCCACCTGCTCCTCAGCAGCCAGCCCCACAGCGCCGTCTTCCTGCAGACTCCCGACAGCGCTCATGCTCGGCTAGCCACCAAGGGCAGGGGGTCCCTGACCCAAGATCGTGCTAAAGTTCGAGCCCTCAAAGTCTTCCTGACCACACTGGGAAGACAAAGATGGTTAAGTCCTGCTGCAGCCGGACTGCCATCGAAAACAGCGTGCATCGCTCTCACACTTCCCTCAGCAGAGGCGGCTGGAGCAGTGTCCCGTTTTCACGGCTACCCAGATAAATCTCAAAAAGAGCAGCATGTCTGTGCTCGCTCTGCCCGCTCTCACACTCTGTGGGGCGGCGCTGTGGGGCTGGCGCCTTCGAGGGTCAGACTTATCAGTACACCGTCTTGCTGTTCGGCCTGTCTTTAGCACCCTGTACTTTCACAAAGTGCATGGATGTGGCGCTCACTCCCTGAGACTTCAGGGGATGAGCATACTGAACTGTTTGGACGACTGGCTTATTCTAGCCCAGTCAGAAACAGAACTGATAACGGACATGTCCTTACTGCTGAACCATTTGCGAGATATAGGTCTCCAAGTCAACTTGACCAAGAGTTTGCTGTCTCCCAGCCAGAAAATCTCTTTACTGGGGACAGACTTAGACTTCATGTCCATCACAGCATGGCTGACGTCACAGCGTGTGCTGCAGATTCAGCTCTCAGCAGAGTCCTTCAAAGCTGGCAGTACCTCTTAAAAGTTTTTAGAGGCTGCTAGGCCTTATGGCCTCAGCTTCAGCAGCGCTTTGGTAGGGTCTGCTCTGCATGGAACCCCTCCTGTGCTGGCTGAAAACGCGATTACCGCCACGGGAATGGGCTTCCGGTAATTTTCGCTGGAGCCCTGGAGAGTGTCAAACTGGTACCAAAAACTATTTCAACAGATGCCTCCAATTAAGGCTGGGGTGCGGTTGTGAAATGATAGCGGTCATGAATGTCCTGGAGTGTTTTCTCCCTTTCTTAAAAGGCCAAAATGTTCTATTCCAAATGGACAACATGGTGGTAGTGTCTTACATAAATCGCCAAGGCGGTCTCAGATCAGGGCACTTTCTTGCGCTGGCAGAATGCCTCCTGGAATGCACCCAGGCCCATCTACGTTCGCTCACAGCGACGCACGTACCGAATGTGGGCCCAGACAGACTGTCCATAGACACCGTCCCCACAGGGGAATGGTCCCTGCACCCACAGACAGTCCAGTTACTGTGGGACATGTTTGGCAGAGGGGACAAAGATCTCTTTGCGTCAGCACCGTCCAGTATTCTTCACAAAGAACATGGCCCTCGACTGGCCCAGTCTCCTGCTTTACGCATTTCCCCCGATTACACTGTTACCACAGGTGATCAAGCGAATCAGGGAAAGCAAGCTATCCTTTCTCCTAGTAGCACCATTCTATAGGAACCATGTGTGGTTTCAGGAACTGATGCAGCTCACGAGCACAGCTTCGTGGCCAATCCTGTTGAGAAAGGACCTCCTCTCTCAGGCTGGGGGCGCGATTTGGCACCCGTGCCCCGACTTATGGGACTGTCAACGGGTACCTGCTGACCTCCCAGTTGGAATGCTGAGTACAGTTACACAAGCAAGAGCGTCACCTACTAGACAGCTCTATGCTACTAAGTGTTTTCTGGCTGGTGTGCAGCCAAATGCTTAGACCCTCAACACTGTGGTGTTACGGAAATTCTTTCATTCCTTCAAGAGCTTTTGGATGAGGGCAGGTCCCCCTCCACACTCAAAGTATACTGTATGTGGCAGCCATAGCAGCGTTCACAGAACATTTGCATGGCCAGTCACTGGGAAAGAACGATCTTATCATCTGTTTCCTCAGGCGAGCTAGAAGACTGAATCCACCTTGCCCCCCCTTATGCTTCCAGTCTGGGACCTTTCCACAGTCCTAGAGGCTATGAAGAGTGACCCCTTCAAGCCACTTCAGTCAGTGAACTTACGGTGTCTCTCGTTCAGA